CTGACAAACGAGATTTGAATGTTTTTTGTAAAGAAGTGAGGCACACTGAAACTAAATAGGTTACCTGGGTTTGTGTCCACAACTTCTATGTAGGAATACGACAAACCTGGTGATTTCAAAAAGGAAACGTATGTGGCACCTGTTATGGTGATAACACTTTTGACTCAATAAGTGGATCTGATCGAGTGTTCTCTTCTGAAATTACACGGTCCTGTTCGCTTCAATGCATCAGAAGATCAACACATATATAACTCAAACATCAGCACTTTCTCAGGATTCTACCTTTTTGAGGTGTTTGTCTGCCAAAAAAATTCGCCTTTATTTCGTAACTTCATGTTTGTATTTTTCAACTAGGTATACAAATCAGGTACCACTTGTTAAAACCTTCTTCTCCAACCTGGTCGCTAAAATGGGCTGTCTGATTTAATTTTGGTAAAAAGCACCGTTTTTAGGATTCGTTAACTCCTCCTTACATCCAGCACAGTTTTTTAAGTTTTTGAATGGATTAGAGAATTTCGACTAGTTAATTAGGGTTCTGAGACTACTTACCAATTAAAGAGAAGATCCCAAGGACGAAGGCTGAAAAGTATAAAAAGCGTGAAAATTCTGGAATACGTGGAAATAAAAGCATTAACATCTCCAAAGACACATACCTGAAACTCTTCGCAAAAACATTTTGAAGACTTAGGCTTTTCCCACGAGAAATCAAACTTTCCCGTTGGGAAGATTTCCTATCTGTGTCGACTCTATACACTATTAATGATCACAGGTGAATGACGCGATCTCCACCAATTAGCGCTACGCTAGATTCAATCGTGTTTAACTTAAACAGTTTCCTTATGAGCTAAGTTCATAATATAGAGAGTAAGGAAACGTGTGCAACAAACGAATTGTGACCACGTGCAAAGGATTTTATGGGGTAGCTCACACTGGACAGTTATTGTCTGGAGTTACGAGCCGTGAAAACTGCAGTAAAACTTTTGAAGTGTCCTCTTAAAAAAATAAAAAATAACCTTCAGGGGTCACTGGTTCTAATGATGTGTGGGATTTTTTTGAATCGAACACAATTGATAGAGTGAAAACGTTAAAATGAAAATAAGACATCGTGTAAAAATGTGGTCTTAGTTCGGTCAACCTCGCGGGCTTGTCTTCAGGTTACTCACATGAAGAACTATTTATCTTATGGTCATTATTCAACTTTAGATTTTCGCCGGTGGAGAACAGTTGACGGATGTTTTAAAACGAGTAACGGGTATGTATATGTACCTGCATGTGTTGACACTGAAACATGAAACAATATTTGTTATGACAGTTTTCGTGTTGAACATTTAAGCAAAATTTGTCAATAAAAACTGGTGTTGTTTTATGTAAAAAGCTTTCCGCTAGAAAACGAGATTCGTGACGGTTTTTTGAAGTTGAATACTTGGCTTGTATAGGTGACATGAAGTGGGTACCAACTTTTTAAACCTGCTACTTTTCTTGTGATTCGGCTCCATAATGACGAAACTTTTTTCCGGGCCAAAAGAGTGGAAACCACATTGCCAGGATCTGTTAGTCACCATGCGCGCTTTGCTTTCAATTTTGAGGGCGTTAGTACACTTTGAGCATAACAACTTACAATGGGTCCATGTATCGTAGTCATGGGAGTTGAAAAGAGAGTATGAACTGTTCATATTTTCTTGGAGTTGATTAACAGATTCAGGTGCCCTGCTGTTATCATTGTATGATGGTGTTTTAAATAAATTTAGGAGCTTTTGGATATTGAAATCATTGTGCATTTGAAGGCTCCTCTCTCTGATTCTTCCCATTTTCCCTAAGAATGACAAACATTTTAGTAGCTCCCCATGATAATTCGATTGTGTTTCCAGATAGCCCAAAGTTTAATTTGTTAATTTCCAAAACCCGTCGCGTAATCGACCCAACAATATACTCAGACCAGCATAATTCGCTTATCACTTCGCTTAGAACTTTCTTCTGTTTTTTTGCAACTGTTGAGCTGTAATGAGAGAACATTTTAATTTCAGATTACTCTACATGATAGGGAAAGTCTTTATTACATTCATTGTCACTTTTTATCTTAAAAAAAATATCAAAAGAAAGTTTTATGAACAAAACACAAAGCTAATACCCCTACATAACTAAATGACAGAGTAAATTTCTCGAAGATGGGTTCATAGGTGGAAAAAGGTGTAGTTATTCTTGTACGGCTCCGTTCTGGTAAGACTTATCCGTGGCCGGATAATTAAATGGGGGATAATACCCATGTTGCATTTGATAATCACTTAACAAGAACCAAGCCACTTCATTTGGCTTGGCACATGTTAACCAACGAACAAAAATTGATTTCCATTTGTTCCTTGCCGGGCCGCTCAAATATCGACCAATTGGGAGGCCATCGTTCCCACTGAAATGAGCATTTAAACAGTCCCGGATGTTCGCCAGGCAGGGGTTTCCCCCAATGTAAATGACTCTGGAGTCTTGGGTGATCTCGTAGACACCAGGCAAGCGAGTAGACTCGTATTTGTCGTTAATGTCAAAACTTCGTAAAGCCGAGGTAAGAGGACGAGCGTTCAAGCGTTCACGGTAGTATTTCATGTTGTTCAAGTCCTCTTCTGTGGCCTGGTAGTCGTATGCATCAACATAAGCCATTTTCTGACGGAAATGCCCTTAAAAATATTTAAAGAAACAGTGAAATTCATTCCATGACAAAAGTACGAGGAAGACAGTACGTAAAGGATAATAATGGTGACCAAGACTGTGAGAGTAAACGTCAGAAGTTAGTAAAAAAAGGAAGGAATAGAGCTTGTTGCTAATGAAATAAGGAAAAAATGTTTGTAGTCAATTAGAGAAAAGGACCTCAAACAGTCTTCACAGGATTCGCTCTACCATAAACTTAAGCAGGCTTTATTAATAAAGTCATTCTTATGAAATACACCCTCCAGTAAAAGACTTAAAAAGTTCACAGACGTTAAGAGTTTCTTTACCTTCCACCTACAAATCAGCCTCAGGCTAAGGATTTTCTCACAAAGCCACGACATTAAAACCTCATTACATAATGTAATGCATCGAGCAGAGCAACTTGTTCTATTTTATTTTCATAAACCTGTAAAATTGCATATAAATTGTTGCGAAAACTGGAAAATGCAAAAACTTACTTTTACATTAGTCTCCTTTGATAACACTCAGGTTTATTCTCGTAAATCTTCAACTCCTCGTTCTTCCTTCTGTCAATTTTTCCGTTGAGACGGTTAACGGTTGCAATTGGTTTTGGTGCGTGATTTAAAACCCCATAGATGTGCGCGCGCAATTTTCTTGCAATACATCGACTGATCTCAAGTGTGCAAGATTGGAAACAATCGAAAACAAAGGCGCATTGGAAAGGAACGTCTTAAATGAGTTGAAATTTTTAACTCGTTCGCAAATGGTCTCCATAAGGGTACCTTTGTATCTGTCTACAACAAAGGAAATGCAGGACTCACTTCCATATTAGTTTAGTAACTCTGATTGTTAATCTTGAAGTAGAGAGTATTCATTAAAAGCGTTTTTCAAACATTCCCCACCAAACTATTGTTTTGTCCAGCGCTCTCTTAGTTTTCTTTAATCAATCTTTGCTTCCTCCTCCTTTCTCTCATAAACTTCAATAGTCTTCTCTTTCCAAAGAGCACTGTTTGCCAGAATATTTTCACGCAAATCAAAGCAATACCCGTGAACAATATCAACAAAAGCCATTCCCCATTAATACTCAATAATATAACAATTCGAAAATATGCCACAAGCAACAAAAAGTCAAACAAAACTCAAACCCGTCTGTTAAAGGTTTGCGTGATTGAAATTTCATTAGCGTGATAATTTTTGGAAGTTTGCAAAACATACAACAATTTTAGTGTTTCGCCCAGGTCATGAAGATTTTTATCCATTTCCGTTTCAAATTACAGAAAAGTTAAAACTTTGTGTATTCGTCTGCAAATCTCTTTTATGAAGAAAGTTTTCTTAAGCTCTTGCCTTACCATAAAATCTAAGGTCGATTTTTCCAATGACGGAGAATCACGGTTCTTTAAGATACTATTACATGATTTTTCTCCCATTGCGTTATTTTCACCGCCGACCGTTGTTCATCAAGTCTACCACAATTATCTTCCTGTGCTGCGGTTACTCAAGAGACGTGTTTTACTTCTGGGATTTAGATAAGTGTGTCGGTGTACGCTGTGTCATAGCCTCCCCAAGTTCAGTGTTGTGAAAGAAATCTTACTGGCACTGCGAGTTGGGTTCCTCTGTGGTTGAGTCGTGCAAAAAACTAGATTTAGAGGTTTTCACCTCAAGGAATCAATAATACCGGAATTCTTTAACCGCTGATATTAGGAAAAACGATTGCAGTTTCTATGTCGTGGTAAAGGTTATGATTATTACGTAATATTATAATCGAATTTCGGTACGGCGCGTGCGCTTCATCGCTGTACTCGATCAGTTTTATCCGGTAGCATTTTGAAGTCAACATAATTGATTTACATGGATGATTTGATTTAAAGCTATCGTTTCTTTAAATGAAAATTTTGGCTCAAACAGAAATTTCGCCTAACTATTGTCGGAAAGGAGAAATTTTAAAATTATGATGCGTACCCATTATGTCACCGGTTAATTGAACGTAACTTTGTTGCTAGGCCACTGAGATATATTCATTCGCCGCCAGCCTGCGTGAAAAGCTCTTAACTATTTCTAAGAATTTTGAAGAACAAAAGCTGTGTTGAGGTATGTACGATTCAGCTGTAACGACAAACTCTCACCACAACAAGACTTTTGTGCTTGTTTTAAGTTTTAAAGGCATCATTGCAGTTGTAGCGTTTGTAGGATGTAGTAACAGCATTAAGATAGAGATTCAGAATTTTTGATATGTTCATCAATGTTTGAAAAAACTCAGAAAGAAAATCGATGTTTACATCCGCGGAAATATTACATTCTAAAATGATTTTCTGTTTTTTTCTTAATGGCTGAAGTAAATCGAAATGAAGAGATCCGGGCTAGAGACAACGGTCAAGGAAACAGAAGTGGATCAAGATCACTTTAAGGTGATTCGTTTCTACAGAGAAAAAATGAACCAACAGCCTTTACACAGTGCACTCAGAAGCTTTAATATACAAGATGGTGTACGTATGTCTGGAGTTTACGAGATTCATAGAAATAACGAGGTAAGCGTTAGGATCTTTGTAGATTATGGGCTTTTCGGCAACGACTACCTGCATGGAGAGATTTCGAGAGATTGCACGCGAGTTTTACAAAAAAAGCAAACTGTTAAGTTCAGATTAGTTTGTATTTCAATAATAATACCTTACTGAGAAAAAGCCAGCTTCGGAGTAAGGCAGAAAAGGAAAATGTCTGAGATCCCTCCATCTCGATGTTATATGTTATATTGTTTCCTATGATCGACTTGGCATCGGAGTTTTCAAAGCCGTCATGTCTACCCGGCTTTGGTTCGTCTCCTTTGCAGCTGTTGTGTGGTGTCGTCAAGCAAAATGCTCTTGTTTGGTCCCGTCACGTTGCGAGGGCATGTGTTGCGTGACGTTACCAAATAGCAGTTGCAAAGAAGACACAGCTTTAGCTAGCCCCGTAGAAAGTTGTCATAACGCAGTTGTCTTATGATATCATAACGCAATTTTCACAGATCATCTACATCGGAGGGAACCCTTATTTTAGCAACATCCGGGACTGTCTAAATGCTCATTTTAGCGGAAATGATGGACTTCCTATCGGTCGATATCTTAGCGGCCCTGGAAAGCGACGCTGGAGGAACATTGCTGTGCGATGGTTGACTTGTCTGAACCCCCCTGAAATAGTGTACTTCTTGTTAGAGGATTATCAACTGAGGAATGGCGCGTTACCGATTTATAACAACGCTCCTAATGTTCAGTCAAGAGATTGGGATTGTGACTGAATTTACCAAGAATCTCTATCTCGTACATCGGGTAGACTTGGGGGTATTTGTCGCTGGGAGCTTTTAAATTCGAAATATCAATAATTTTGACTTTCATTATTTAACCCGCAGAAATGCCTGAATAAAAGTCATACACTTCGATCTATGGTGTCTTTTGTAGATTTTAAATGTTCAGTCCTTATTGTCCCCCTGCTGTTGTAAATGGAATAGGATGAGTGCATTCTTCTGTTTACACCTGATAGTCCATTGTTCTTAAGGTAATTTAGTGTTAACAACTGAGTTGGAAAGCTCTGACGAAGGGCTAACGCTCGAAACATCAGCTTTTTTACCCTTTACGATGGCAAATTTACGTTTTCAACTCAGTTGTTAACACTAAATTACCTGCTATACTCTCCCACTGACGCAGCACCACAGTTTCTTTAGAAACTTGCCCATTTATCTATTATTCATAAGTTTGGCAGTTCACTCTGACTAAAATTTCCATACTAGAAAACTCGCGCACGCCTCAATGATATATCCGCCAGCCAAATTTTCACTTTGTGCAGGCTCAACCGTTACGAAGATATTTCTGCGGGCGCCATTTTCCAAACTCTTCCTTCGTTACGTTGTATTAGTTACCGCCACGAATTTTCACGGACCTCCTGATTTCCAGCAGTTTGAAAGAAATGCAGATATATTTATTTTTCCTGGTGAGAAGTAAGTTCTAGGAGGTTTCTTTTTGGAGATGGATCGGTACGTGCGAGTAAAGAAGATCGGCGAAGGCTCGTTTGGAAAAGCCTTGCTGGTGAAAAAGAAGGCCGATGGAAAGCAGTATGTTATTAAGGAGATCGGCATTTCTAAGGTGATTTTTGTGTCAGTTTGAATGCCTAGTATTTGTTGAAAGTGTCTGTAAATGATGAATTTTGATTCTCTTGTAGAAATCTTGGCGGTATCCCAAAATGTACATTCATGTAATTGTTTATGCTCATGTTACAAAATACAGCTCCACTCAACTTCCTTGATGTATATTTTCTAGATGTCACCTAAAGAGAGAGAGGAATCCAGAAAAGAGGTACTGTCTCGGACTCGGTCTAACAAGAACTTTTGTTTCTTATAGATTGCTAGTCTAATGTTCGTCGCATTTTATCAAAATTTAAGTACATGTAGTCTTGTAATTACTGCAGCATCCATTTGAGTTTTTATTTTGAATATTGGTGTACACCGCATGATGAGATTTGAATGCGGATATTTTTCTGCAAACCATTTAACTAGCGCTTGAAATATGAGGTAACTCAAGATGTTGTGCGTAATTTCATTTAAAGTAAATGCCGTGCATGAAGTTATCATTTTTATGAATCCTTCAAGAAAAAAAAAAAAAAGAAAAGACAGAATCTTTCCTTATCTTTTTCGGGAATAAAGTGAGGAAACAGAGAATATTTTCATGTGATATTTAATAATTAAACTGAAAATTAGCAATGGCTTGGTCATCAAACAAGACAAGAAAAATACTTATTTAAATAATTTTTTTTCAAAGGTGAAAGTCTTGGCTCAGTTGAAACACCCAAACATTGTGTCATACCAAGAGTCATTTGAAGGTAAGGGTTGCCCTGTTTACATAATCAAACATATTCAAACACATATTTGTTGCAGCAGTTTTATGAACGAGAATAAAAATCTCACCACAGAGTTCCTCCAAAAAATATCTCTGAGACCTGTTTGAGCTACTGCTGATGCAAGTTACCTTATTAATGTGAACTATTTATTGCAAATTAGGTCATTTACTTTAAGTTATTGTGAAAAAAGGTAAAGAAAGTAAGAGATCACATTCATGATAGAATTTAAGACTCAAATTCACACCTCTTTTCTTGATTTGTTATTTCTTTCCTCCAGAAAATGGAAATCTATACATTGTTATGGACTACTGTGAAGCAGGTATTTAATAGAGTAAATAGTGTGCACAACTCTAGATTTTTAAGAGTGGTCAAATTGGAATTTGGATCATTTGGTTTTTTGTGAGGAGAGGGAAACTGGAGAACTTACAGGAACACTTATCACCAAAAAATGAGAAACAGCGGTAAACTCAACCCATCCGATGCTATATCTGAGAGTGGAACCCAGGCCACAGCTGTTGAAAAAAGGGCTCTCATCTCTGAACCATCCCTATGCACCTTAATGCAATTTAATGATAAATTAATTCATTTTTGAAAATACATTTAATTTCTTGATGAAGTGCATTCTGCCTTGTGAGGTCTTGTTTGCCAATTTAACTTTGGGATACCCTTTGAATCTAAGATTCCTAAGAAATGTGGTACAGCTGTTGAGGTAAAGATAACTAAAAGAATGTTTGTTTCAAATGTTAACTTCTAATACTGACTATAAATTTGCAGGTGACTTGTATAAAAAGATTAATGGCCAGCGAGGAATACAGCTGCCTGAAGAACAGGTAGAATTGTACATAAGCATTTTTAAATGTTCTCCCAAATTGTTTCTTTGTCAACAAGGATGTTTTTGCTGTTAATTCAGTTTGAATCCAATTTTATTTTATTCCAGGTTTTAGACTACTTTGTGCAGATATGCCTTGGCTTGAAACATGTACATGATAGAAAAATTCTTCACAGGGATTTAAAATCACAGGTTTGTCCTATAACTTTATTATTTTTGAATGATTAATGTGCAAACAAATGTGATACTACCAGCATTTAACACCTGAAAATCCTAAACTTGCTGTTTTTGTGTTATTCACTCTGTGTTTTACCTTACAGAACATATTTTTAACAAAGAATGGAATAGTCAAGCTTGGAGATTTTGGAATTGCAAGGGTTTTACATAGGTAATAAGGTTTTAATGAGGTTATGTAGGAAGTTTTTATGTTTTTTTTATATTACTTGTTTATTACTTTCTAATATTTTCAAATCTGAGTTTGCCCAATGGTGACTTCACAATTGAGTTGAGCTTGGCTTTCAATGATTCCTAATTTGTTTCTCTTTCAGTACCATGGAGCTTGCCCGCACCTGTATTGGTACACCATATTATTTGTCCCCAGAAATCTGTGAAAACAAACCTTACAATAATAAAAGGTGAGCCTGTATTTCCCTAAAACTGTAGTCAAAGGGTACTGTGCTAGTATTACCAGTGTCAATTTGACTGTTCATGAAATGATGATTATTACAAATATTGATTGGATTTTTTAACCAATTTCAAAATTTTCATGCAGTGATATCTGGTCACTTGGATGTGTTCTCTATGAGTTGTTGACCCTCAAACATGCTGTGAGTATTTTCTACACTTTGCCTTTTACAAAATGATTGACTTCCAGTATTTGTGTACATACACCTTTCCTCCATGGTTTCAACCAGTGAAGTATGAAAACATTTTCATTCAATGCTGGTGATTCTAAAGAAAAATGTTTTTAATTGCAGTTTGAAGCAGGAAATATGAAGAACTTGGTTATAAAAATAATAAGGTATGGAGTATTGTTCATGGTATGTGATGAAATTTTTCTGCTGGTGTAAATAGTCAATTGATGACCAACCGGTTGCAACTTTGGACCTAGATTATTTGTTCATAGCTTGCTAGCATGGCTGTATAACTAAACTGAGTTTTATTTACTAAATAACAGTTCATCCTGTTTTAAGTATTTGGACTTATTCAAAAAGTACAAATTTGGTGAAGTAATGATCCTTCAATTTTCAATTCAAGTTGTAAGTTTTTTGTGATCTTTACTGGTTTTTGTTTATTTTCATAGAGGGTCATATCCACCCATCCCCTACAAGTACAGTGCTGACATCAGAGGCTTGGTTGCACAGTTGCTAAAACGAAATGCTCAGTATGTGCTAGATCTAGTGATTATTTAATTTAACTATTTATAGGAATGTCTTTGTTATGAGAATTGTATTAATGTTTTAATTGTTAACCCTTGAGGACCTAAGAGTGACTAGCATCTAATTTCTCCCAAAAATTTCACCCCTGAATCAAACGCAAAAGTCATGAGAATAAAGGAGATGATCACCAACTAAAGCAGCTCTCGATTGTGAAACAAATTCTCCTTGTCAGCCTCTTTGGAAATCTATGGAGAACAGTATGGAGAATATACATACTGATGTTAGGGTGTAAAGGGTTAAAAGATGTTGTATGCTATAAATTTTACTGCTTTTTCTCCTTGTAACTTACAGTGATCGCCCATCAATTAACTCAATCCTGAAGAAGCCATTCATACAAAAAAGAATTGAGAAGTTTTTGTCTCAGGAGGTTGGTCATTGAAGTCAATTTGATGAAATTAATGCTTTCTCCCCTTAAATTCCAAGGTTACTTGGGATTTATGATCAAACTTTATGGTTGAATGATCTGTCAGTAGCTTTGTGAAACTAGGTTCACCTTTATTTTGTAATATGATTTACTAGTGGTTGTAAGGACTTTTGTCAACTAGTTTTTGACCTGCTTGCTTTTTTCAAAACATATTTTTAGAAAATGGCAGAAGAGTTTAGCCACACTGTAATTCATCGTAAGCCTTTGGGTGTACTTGGCCAGCAGCGGATGGCACCCAAGCCTGTCATTAAACCTGCTCCAGGTCAGTTGCTTTGATGCCACAGTTTGGAGACATGATGTCATGCTCCATGTTATCCATCTGGCTTATGCATGAATACTTTAACTTATGGTTGTATCACAAAAGTTAATAGTTATAACCTGTTGGGGGAACCTTGCTGTTATTGATTCACTCCTCTGTTAAAATGTTTTCTGTCACCACAAATCCTGAATATTTTCAGTGCCACAAAAGTATAGTAACCCAAAGGCCAAGTATGGAGTTTCTGTTGCAAAGAAGAAGCCTCCAGTTAAGTAAGATTTAATTCTATTCAACCTTCAATTTAGGCATTATTTTAACCTTTTTTTATATTGATAAAAACTTTGAAAATGTATTTTGCTTTCAGGAAGCCTGGTTCTGGAGAAGCTGCCAAGAAACCACCTTCCAGACCAAGCAGTGCTGCACAAGAGAAACCTGTTGACAAGAAAAAAGAGCTAGATGCTCGTGAAAGAAGACGCAAGGACTTGATGCAGAATCAGGTAAGGTTAAACCTTGTGCCAGGTCTTGAAAAGTGATAACAAATAACCCAACAATAACAGATAATTTCATTATGTGTGGTTTTGTTGTTTTACTGATGCAGGATCAGATGTACCAGGATTACATGAAGAAGGTTCAACAACAGAGATGGGAACGTCAACAGGTGATCAAACTGCGCACCATGAATAAAAACAAACACTGATGCTCAAATCTCTTTGAGTGCAATGCAGAATTTGAAGTTTATTTATACTCCCACTTGCTTCCAGAAAACATTGACATGATGGTTACTTCATTTTACAGCGTGATCAGATTAACAGAGCTAGAGAGCAGGCTTGGAAAAACACTCTCCTGGTTGGGCTTAGTCCAGAGGTGAATATCCTGATTTTGTTCTGAATGTAATGGTATGCCAGTGTTGTACATTTGTAAGAGTCAGTAGTTATGTAGCACTCTTGAGCAACAAGAGGTACAGTGTACATGTTTCATGAAATATTAAATGAGACATTACACAATTTTATTGTCCTTCATTTGATCAGTTTAGCTGAGATTGATGCTTCATTATTTGCCTTTCCATTCTTTTATCAGTTTTATATCATTCATCCTATGGCATAAGAATCCCTGTCCATTTCAAAATTTTCATCACAGCCATTCATGAAAAATTCAGTTCCTCAGAAACTTTTTAAGACAAATCTCTTGTTTTCAGGGGTGCGGTATTGAGGCATGCCTCTATAAACTTCAAGACAATTGTCTTCAATCCTGTTTTGCTCTAAATACTTGTGTCCAATTGATTGACTTGATTCTTCTTAAGCAAGACACTCTCTCCTCAGTGGTATGAGGGCATCTTTCAGTCAGATTTAAAATTAAAATGAACTGTTTTTAAACATTTGAATTTATTGGAGCTTAAACCTAGCAGGGGACTTATGTACTATTGTTTGTGCTCTGGTACTGCTTTTGTACAAATCCTTAAAATAAAATAAATGATAAATAAATTAAATGACTTTTGAAGGTTAAAACTATTTATTTCCTGTCTAGTCTAACAAAGAATTGCTGCAGATATTTCCCAAGTTTTTTTCTGTATTGATGGTCATTTTAAGCAAATAAACACTAATTTTTAATAAATAGACGGAGAAATCAATAGATAAATAAATGATTGAAAAAGTTACTACGAATGAACAAAAAAGGATCAAATACGGGTAATTAAAACTTTTATGATGGATTATAGAAAGATCCAGTAGTAAAATGCTTCTGTTTACTAAGTTGTCTACCTGTCCATGGAAGATGATATCATGAGAAAGAATCCATCTAATGACAATGTTTTCATGTTCCATTCAAACCTAGATAACAAATATCTGACAAAACTTGAAAATTGTTAATTTTTTTAGAAAGCAAAAAAGCCTGCAGCTCCATCTGCTGGTGTAAAACCAAGTCAACCAGATGTCATTGTGAGTACTAAGTTAATGATTTCCTATGGCTGGTCGTGAACATGTGAATCTATTTTATATTTTATTAGCACAGATGTGTTAGTTTCAAACGTACTTACACACTTAATTATGTAACTTTATTTTATCTCTCAGGCTGTATACTTCTAGTTTTGTGGGTTTTATGTAATGAGTGTGCTCTGAAACTTTGGTCTTGAACAGAATTCTGAACTCTTGTAAGAAAAGGTTTTTGGAAAATTAGAACGTCCTTCTGCAAATGGTCGTTTGATGTGACAGAATGTATTCAGGCTTTTACAGGAATTTGGAACATGAATGTAGTTCACAGTTAAGCCTTCATCTTCTGGTAGTTTTTTGAGAATTTATTTGCAGCATTTCCATGGATACTTGTGGTAGATAATAACTTGTGGTTTTTCATTTAGAACAAGCAGCCACAGGCGATGCAGAAATATCAAGAAAAAGCTGGAGACAAGGAATTCAAAGAGAACAAACCAGCAAGACCCTATTCAGCAGATAATCGGAACAGACAACCAAATGTAGCAGTCAAAGGGGCTGGTCGACCTGTGTCTGCTAATGAAGCTAACAGAGCACCAGCTGCTAATCCTGTAAACCTGGCATGGAATGCAGCCAAACAAGGACAGGTCGATAGGTGAGTGAAGCGAAAAAGGGTGTGGTTCACAGGATACGGGTTAAGGTGCGCCTCAAGGAATAATAATGTATAAAGACTTCGTAACAGTGACTGTATAGAATTGCAGAAAATCCAGAAGAGAACGGGAGGTCTTGACTTATCAAAGACTGAGTCATGCTGTGGTGGTACCTTTGACTTACCTAGGTCAAAGGTGTTTTAAAAACTATGCACTCGGTCCTATGGAGAGCAGTTTATGTGGTGGAGGGATAGGTTTTACGATAGTCACACATGAGCTGCACGAGACACAGAGTTAGTGAAGGAAAGACTGTGAAAGCCTTTTAATTTTTTTTTTTTCATTTCATGTTTCGTTGAATAGAGCGCAAGGAGCTGGGGCAGCAGAGCGAGCTCGTGTGTTGGAAGAATTCTGGAACAGAAAGAGAGATGCCCAGAGAAACAGAGCGAGGGGACAGGTAAGATGGGTCATAGGGAGAGAAATAAAGAACTGAGGGGACAGGTAAGATGGGTCAGAGGGAAAGAACAAAAGAACCGAGGGGGGTAGGGAAGATGGGTCAGAGGGAAAGAATAAAAGAACCGAGGGGGGTAGGGAAGATGGGTCAGAGGGAAAGAATAAAAGAACTGAGGGGACAGGTAAGATGGGCAGAGGGAAAGAATAAAAGAACTGAGGGGACAGGTAAGATGGGTCAGAGGGAAAGAATAAAAGAACTGAGGGGACAGGTAAGATGGGTCAGAGGGAAAGAATAAAAGAACTGAGGGCGTGAGACAAGCTTCAAATGTAGTCATGCTAATATATAGATTTAGCCAAGCCTAAAAGTAGCACCTTGTACGGTCGGTCGTACAGTCTCAAGTCCAAATTTTTTCGGCCTGATGGGTTACTACTATTTTGTATAATTATAGGGCTACGCTCTGCGAGCTCCGCTATGATTGTACAATGTGCTTCTTCTAACACATTTTTTTCTTCCCTTCATAGAATTTTAATGCACTCCCCGATCACTACCCGCCAGGTTAGTTTGAAAAATACTAATCATGTACTTCTGTTCTTTGTAAAATTTGCTCGCCCTCAGAAATCCAATATGGAGTTTTTGAATATTTCTTCTTAGGTAATGTTGCTCAGAAGAAAGATGGTCTGCCTGCTAAGGACGCAAAGGAAAAGGTTTGTATTGAAACATATCCGTATAAAGTATCCGTGAAAAAGGTGAAAAGATGAAAAGTTGGATATGTGAATGTGTTTCTCTACTGACGCCCTTCCGTACTTAGGACTGCAGCTGGTGAGACATTGGAAATGACCGCAGTGATTTGTTAATTAGAAGGGGTAAAGCCTCCTGTTAAAGACACGCCGTGAATTGTTGCTAAGTGAACTGTATCTTTATCTTGCTCTCTGTAGGAATATCTTTCGCGTTTGGAAGCTATTCGACGCCAAAACTTTCATGAACGAAAAGAAATACAGAGAAGAATGGCAGGAGTGCGAGCACCAAAGGAAGTACCACCGGCACAGGTGAGCAATGGAGTTTTAACGACTGAAATTATCGTCTGCGGTGCGAACAGCTATTAACAAAAAAACGGTGATTCGTTTTTCATCATAGAAAGAGAATGTGATGATTCATGGAGACCCACGTTATGATCCTGTCGCCAGGAAAAAGAAAATCGCTGATTTAAAGGTAAAAGTCAACCCATTGTTTCGAAGCTGGTAACGCGTGTAGGTTTCCTTGCTCGTGCTTAGCGCTTAGAACACGTTGTTTCTCTAGATAGGTACTACTCTTGTGTTTTCCTTGACTCTCGTTTCTGTTTAATAGCTACTCTCTTTTCCCTTCATTTTATGAAACCAGGAGATCGCATTAGAACGCACGAGTGTAAAGTGTCTTTCACTGACTTTGTTTACTTATTTTCGCCTGTTTGCATCAAGGCTCAAGCAGAAGATCGTGCTACGATGTTGCGGGCTCAACTTGAACAGAGAAAGAAAACGATTCTAGCTAGAATTAATAAAGAAGGCAAAGAAAGACTGGAAAAGGTTTGGAATTTTCTTCAGTTTGCCATCATTTTTTAAGGGTTACTTGTGTTTTATGTCACTAATGTATAAATCTTGACGGTTTTTTTTGTAGGAAAATCAAAGACAGGATCCTGATAAAAGGTATTTCGCTTGTTTTGAGCGACTTTAATTTGATAATTCGTTTGATCTGCAGATTATCTTACGTAGATTTGAGGAAATTCGCTGCGATAGTGTACTGGAGATTTCAGTGGAAAATGATAACGATAAAAATAAAATCCACCTCATGCTATCACGCAAGTGATTGGCCATAGTCTTGATTGCTTCTCTGTGACGCTCTTTTACAGGCCGCTCCCTGCTTTGGCAAAGTATGAAAGACCAGCAGGTATAATTTCATCGCAATTCTGATGATTGTTGTTTTGTATTTCCTCCGTGTATATGTAACCTGGTTCTGTAACGGTTTAAGTTTAATCTAATGGATTGAATTGTCACAGAGCCCGCGCCAAAGCCAGCGGTTGCCCCTGTGGGTCTTGAGACAGCTTTAAAAGAAGTAGGAGCCACAATGCTGTTCAGATCAAATTCAGAGGTAAACTACCAAATCTTTTGCCAGGATCATCTTGTCCAATTGCAACTTAATTTTGTAACTTGTTCTCTTATTTTTCATTTCTTCTTTTTCAGAATGATCTTCGTAAGATGACAGAAGAAGATAAGAAGGAGCCCCTTGCACCGCGAAAGGCCTGGGGAGATATTCCTTTCCAACCACGTATCCTACCATTAGAGGTGACATCATCGGCGATGGAAGGTGAGAAGTGATTTTGCAGACCTGTTGACTGGAGGGTCAGTTCAAAAGTTGGCCTCCTTCCTCTGCTCTCAGGCTAATCAGGTTACGCACCACTGTCCTCTTTGGCGCTTGGTCGGAGCAAGACTAACTGTCGATGATCAATTAAGTGTTCCATTCCTCGCTAACTTAGAAATAAGCAACTTTCAGTGCATGAAGCTTGTTTAATTCCTCTCTTTCTCGCTTTTCCAGCAACCAGTGCAGGCGATGCAGTAATGAAACCAGCAGCGGATGCCGCCAGGAAGCAGTGGGGAAAACCACAAATGACAGAAATCATCTCGGCTTTGGGTAACGCCAAGCTCCAAACTGTAACAACAGCCATAGGAGGAGCTGATGAACAAGATGCGGCAAAGAAGGCTTCACCAGCTGTTGTCACACAATCACCTGCTGGCTCTTCAGTCTCTGCGATGGGCACAACTGTCACGGTACAAAGCCCCACTGTACCTCCCTTGTTAGGAGTAACAGTGGTGAAATCGCCCACCTCAAAGTCTCCACAAACTGTTATTGTCAAAAAGGATAAGAGTGATGAGATGCCTGAGGCAGCGAGCTCCAAAGGAGGGGCCACAATTACCATATCTGGAACAACAGAAGATGAACATAAAAAATCTCCTGTATTGGACACGATCTCCGAGGGAACCAGAGAGGGTGACATCAACAAAGACAACGGTACTGTAAAAGCGGAGAATTCAGATGATTTGAATTTAGAAGAGGTGGAGAGTGTCCCCCAGGAAAAGGTCCTCGAAACTTCGCCCGAAAAGGCCGAACCGAAGAGTCCGGTAAAGGCCTGGGGAGGGGAAAAGGCCACTACACCAACTGATGGTAGGTTCTAGACCCCCAAGTCAAAACAGAGTAATTGAGTACAAAGTCAGTATTTAGTTAAATATAGTTATTACTTGGATAAGTGACTTACCTAACTTGCTGTCTATTTTCGCTATGTTCAAGGTGCTTTCAAACAAAAATCTCCCCGCAGTGCCTGGGTAGACGATGATAAGAGAGCTGCCTATCAACAGTTCTTGATGGCGTCACGCGAGCGTGCTGGCGCAGAATCTGAGTCACGCAATGAATCACACGGTGAAAAATCTGCGTCACGCGCCCAAGCCGAACAGGAACCAAAAGAAGCTCTGTTTAAACGAGTTAATAGGAAGGAAGAAAGGAAGGAAACAAGATCAGAGGATCTGGAAGTACAAGATATTTCGGTTGACGACTCGTAAGTTTGCAGCACTCAGCTTACAATTTAGTTATATTGTCCAGTTTTAAGACCTGATGATTTGTTCTGTGATGAAGAGCACAGTCCTGGTTGAAAGCTTCGCCACTCAGAATCCATTGGACATCTCAGCATATTAACTGTTTCACATTATTGTGTGTTTGAATTTAGATCATTCCATACGGCTGATGGGTCACCAAACAAATCAATGCGGGCTGCAGAGCTACAAACAGGAATTTATGATACGAATTTTACAGTAAGTAATTACATCTTCTATCTTAGGGCCGTCGTCGATCTCTCACACATCTAATCGAAGCTTTTTTTCGGATTATTTTTCGGATATTTCTCTGTCATCCTGGGTATTGTGGGCTGCTGTAGTGGAAATTACACGATTGACAATATTTGTGCTTATTCTGTCGCAGAGGCTACGAACTTGCTCTTTACCCGACTTGAGGATGTTGTTTAAGACCGCTACCTCCGGACGTACACAGACTTCAGATGAGGAGCAGGGGGAGACAGATGAGGATGAACACGGAGACGAAGAGGAAAATGCTGATGAGCAAGGAGATCTAGAAGGGGACGAAGAACTTGACGGAGGGAATGAAGAGCATGATGATTGTGACGACGAGGATGATGACGATAACGATGATAACGAGGATGATGACGAAGACGATGACGAAGACGATGACGAAGACGATGACGAAGACGAAGAACTTAATGTTGGCAGGTTTGCGCGTGTGAAAAGAAAATGTCTTTCAATGCATTTGCAGGGTATTTGTAGTAGCCTTACCTTACTGTTCTTTTTTAGAGAACAAGAGGTGGTGAATGTGTTATTATTTGCTCAGTTATTCACGAATTCCTCCTTATATTTTAAAAATATCATTTTTTGGGTGTTTTATTTTGCCTATTCGGCTTTTGGAACGTGGTTTGATTTCGATCCAAAACTTTTTGAGGATATAACATCCCCTAACGACTAATTCCTTAACTTAAGTTTGTAGGACCAACTGTTTTCGTATCCTTATAGTCTTATAATACATATAAGAAGCGAAGCTTGTAATTATTTCGCAATTTAGTTACTCGGTCATTTTATGATCTCTTTCCTCAGCGACGAAGATGAAAATGAGGAATTCGAGGATATGTTGAATTCCATGAGAGACGTACTTGTAAGCACTGGTAAGATTTAAGTATATAATTTCTTCATTTTGTCATTAGCCCTTCACACCCATGATTGATCACATGACTTTCTTACTATGTACTTCTCCCTAGGACGATCTCCTTCACCCATCAAGAGCATGCGTGGAACTGATAACAGTTTGGACTGGGATCACTGCGCGGACACGCAGTCTCCAAAAGGTGAAATTTTCAATCACCCGTTCCCCTTTTATTGGAATATTTTTTCTTAGAAAAAATTTTTCCCTGGTCATTCCCTTCATAAGTCTCCACTGACCAACAGCCAGGATCTAGCTGGTGCAGGTTACATAGACGCGCAACCTCGTTTCCAAGCCATTTTTCCAATCGAAGGAGGAAGTGGGTGAAACTATGGCTCTCTCAAGTAATATGAAAACGAACCCCTCTTTGGAAGACTGATTCGTGATTTTAATCATGCAAGTTTTTGTTATCTATTTCTCTAAATAGACGATGAAAGCGACGGAGTGGAACTAGAACGATCGTCATCTGAGTTATCCAATCTGAATGAGGACTGGGACTCAGGTATGGAGGATCAAATCGAAATTCCTTGATATGAAAACTACCATATAGATTGGAGGGCAAAGAATGTTTGGTAAACTTTTTGTTGTTGTCCAACCTCCCTCTGTTCCAGTATAGCAAGTTGTATCGTAGATTGTTGTGAATCATGGCTCATCGTTTTTTTCATCAGGTGACGACGACGATGACGAAGACTCAGCCATGCAGGAGGCGCGAGATAAGAAGCGTCAGGAGGAAGAAGAGAGTTTGTTTCAAAGACTGGAAGAGTCACGTCTGATGCTTGAACAGGAACTAGGAATTGACAGATTTCTACGCGTCTACAAGTTTCTCCAGGTACAAAGATGTGTCCAATGATTTTTTAAAAAAGGAAACATGAGTCTCGTACATAGGAGTCCTCTCAGTGTTACCTTTTCAGTGTGAATAGCTCGTCCTCTCTTTTGGATTTCAAGCCGTGCTCCACTTGATATAAAGAGAATAACTTTCACATCGATCTTTGAGTATTACATTGACTGAATTTGTCTCTCGACAGTCTGTCCAAGAAAACGAAGACGATAGCGCGGAGATCGGCACTGCAGGCGAGATCAGTGAACTGCTAGGAGACAAAGAGCATCTGTATCCCAAAATACTTTACCTTGTCATAGCAGACTCGGCCTACACTGAGGGTATGACCTCTTATATTTGAACTTAACGTCTAGTATTTTATGAATTCCTTAGGCATCTTCCCAAATCATGCTCTACCTCAGGCAAAAATCGGTTTAAAGCCTCTCACAATTTTATGTCGGTATTGTTATAAATTGTGAGGAGTTCTTCGCTTTCTCTCTCTCTTATTTGCAGTGATCTTTAATCTTTTTTATCTTCATTTGCAGATAACCAATGAGGCACGCCTGCTGCCCTTATCAGTAAATTATATTTAGCTCCGAATGAAAAGAACATTAACAATGTTTGAGCCTAAGTTTCACCTCTAGGAGAGAATTCAGGTTGCATAGAGTGTTTAGTAAGCGATAAAATGGCTTTGATTGGCGGTACATCTTCTATATTTGTTCATAGGAGAGTTACGACCTTGGTCTTATACTGAGTGCTACTAACAAAAGCAAGAAAGCGATCAAAATATGTCAATTTGAAAAAGTGCTGATCGCTGGGTGTGAGTAGAGTAGTGAGATACGGAAGGTAGGCACCTTAACACAGAATCTAGACCACATTTACTTTGCCATGACTATTGCTAAAACCATCAGTTGAAATGAAAAACAACTAAATAATCACAGAAAATTGTCTCTTTAACTTAATATCTTATATCATTGCAGATACTAAAAAATTATTTTCAAAATGTAAATTTTTCACATCTAAAGATTTTGATTATTATTTTTTTGGTCACTAAGCTACCTTCACAAATCGTAAGTTACGCAGGCGTAATTTGTTGTTGATTGAATTTCCCTTGGATTGAATGCCAGTAGTTGATAAGGTGTATAATTCCATATTTTAACGTGCAAGTTTTGTTACCCTGGCAAATAACTTCATTTTTGTCTTATTTAGTGTTAGTTCTCAAATTAAGTGCGAGATTTCCCTCGGGTGTAGGCGCACAAGGGTTTTATTCTCGCAAATGCCAAGTGTGTTCTGGCTATAGTTTATCAGTTAAGTCGTTCTCTACTTTCAAACTGGAATAGTAGTAAATGAAAATGAAAGCTTTTTCTGAAAAAGAGAAATGGGCGAGCAAGGGAAAAAAGTGGCTTACTTCCCCATGTCTCCTGACAGAGAGCTCCACAGAGGCTAATATAATTAAAAGTGTGATAATAAATGTTGGCAATGTACTTCAACTGAATTTGCCTTTTTATTTAATCAGACCCTTTTATCTGAACTTTGGTTAGATCAATCATTTGACTCTACCATCAATCATTAATCTGCAATAAGGCGTTAACTTCTGTTGTGAAAAGCGAAATTCGAAGGTTGGCGACAGAGGAAAAAAGGGAAGACTTATTTTAATCCTTTTATCAAGGGTTTGACTTGCGCCAGTAAACTACTGTCGCTCTAGCTTATATAATGCAAGAAGAATGGAACGAGTCATGGCAGGTTTCTAACCTTTTAAACGACACGGCAATAAAAGACTGCTGTATTAAACTTCCTTTTCATTTACCTTGCATGTATTAACTCGAAACAAGGAGTGAAAGCGAAGGACGAGAGTTGACCTCGGATTCCGAATACGAGGTCAATTTACATAATGAAGTGAAGCAGATAACCCTCGGGAGGGTTTAATTTAATTTCGGTAGTTTCCAATCTAAATTTAAAAACTTTCGTAAATTCGAGATTTTTTATCTCCTCCATCATTGCTGGGGACATTGATTTTTGGTCTCACCCTTCTTGACGTTGATAACAACAGGAGCAGTTTTCTGTCCTCTCACAGTGACCGAGGGCATCTGTTCTTTGTGGCTCTCCTGTGAAATACAAATAAATACATTGCAAACAATACCAGTAATTGTGGGGGAGAAAGATACACGCCTTGTCGTTTTACTAGATTTTTTAACGGCGTCAATACTCGCTAGTGGCATTTAAGTATATAGAATCAGCTAATGCCAACATACTCGGGCTTTTATACCTAGGATATGTATACAAGAGATTTTGCAACAGTGACAACCATTTAGGAACACTTATTATACTGGTGTCACGTATGCTACAGGACAGGCACCAGGATAACACTTAACTCGGATTTCAATGTAACTGTAACCAGCATCAAGTTAGTTTACCTCAGGTTGAGAATTTTCTTTCAAGAGCCCTCCATAGTCCGGTGCATTGTCATGCGTGCTTTGAGTTTCTGATAAATCGATGTCGTCCGTTGCAGTTTGAAAGCGCACCATCGGCTTTCTTTTCAATTCTACCTTACTTTTGGCCTCGTTTTCGACGTCATTACTTGATAAAGGCAATTTCCGTGGTACATTGCTGGTAATTAAACTTTCTGCAGCAGATTCAACTTGTAAAGGAAAAGTCACATCGCTGCCTCGTTGTTTTTTGTCGCTTGTTGTGTCAAGAGTGTTAACCAGAACAACAGGAGGTTTTAAAATTGAGGGCTCTAGTTTCGCAACCTTTGCATTAATTGACACGGTATTTTCTTGTCCTTTTTTTATGAGTGCTGATGTTCTGGTATTTTTTGAATTGGCCTCGCTGAGCAAAATGGCGGATTTTGTTTTCCGGAGACCAGACGAGGTGGATGTTTGAGAGACATTTTGAGGGTCTTTTTGAGAATCTTGAAAACAAGAGGAAAAAAAAGAGAGAAAAAGTAAATATTGAGCGAAAAGTTGACCTTCTCTTGTCACCCAAGACCAGAGAAACGTTGGAAAATTTGTTTCCTGCTTTTTCCCGCTTGTTGAAATGGGAGAAATTATCTCCTCCTCTCTGTCGTTTTCGTTCTCTTTCATCTTTTACTCCTCCACATCCCTCAACTTACTCCTCAAATGAATCCTTCGATTGTGAGTTTCAATTTAATCTGTAGGTGACTAAAGCAGATTTATCTTTGGCGACAATACTTACGGCTCTGCAGCTTCAGTCGTAAGTCGTCAATTTTCAACCTAAGCTTGATATTTTCACCGTTCAGTCGCTCGACGTTAGACTCGGACACATGCAGTTGATGTTCAGTGTGACGAAGTCTGTCAGTTTCGGATAACTGAAGTAATGTTTTTGTCTGCAATTCTTTATTCAGTGCTGCCAAGGCTTTCCTATAGACAAAGTATAAAAGGAAGAATCAGGTAAAGAGCAGGGAACTCCATCCTTACAC